TATTTTTACTAAAACAGAAAATGACAATCAGCCTCCCTTTCCTTGGCCAATGTATCTATGTCATTAATTTGCAGCAGTGCTGTGGCTAGATATTCACACTATTCCTAGGTGCCATAGAGGTTACCAGAACCTAAGCACTGCTCAGTACAAATAAAGTTGTGTCTGATAGTTAAAGATTTGAGGCTGAGAAATTTGGGCACTTGGATGTTCACAGAAAGTGTGTCTGTTTTAAAGGGCTGGCTGGATCCAGAAAACAGGTGCAGTGTAATTAATAGCATTGAGTTTCCTAGTATATATTTCTAGTTTTATTTTGGATTTTGTTTGTGTCAGGTGGCTTTGACCTGGACATTAAAGGCTGGGGTGGTGAAGATGTACATCTGTACCGCAAATACCTTCACAGCAACCTCATCGTGATCCGAACGCCTGTCAGGGGTCTCTTCCATCTGTGGCATGAAAAGCAGTGTCTGGACGAGCTGACTCCAGAGCAGTACAAAATGTGCATGCAGTCCAAGGCCATGAATGAGGCTTCTCATGGCCAGCTTGGGATGCTTGTTTTCAAGCAAGAGATTGAGACACATCTGCACAGACAGAAACTGAGTAGTAAGAAGACATGAAACCAGAAAGGGAGGCCACGAGGCTCTGAATAGGGTGGTTTTTAAAAGAGTTGCTAACCAGAAAAGATGGAATCAGACTGAAAGAGGATGGAAATTTCAGCAGGATGGCAGCAAAAGAAGAAGAGGGGAAAGTGTTTGTCCTCCCTACTTTTGTTTTTATTCTAATGGGGCTTTTAAGTACTCCATTAGCCTGACTTTTCAGCACTTGCTTCTAGGGGAGACTTGAACACTTGATGAGATTCAAGGTCATGTTGGACCATGACGGAGACAATGAACGTTACATAAATGCTGGTATGGTATTCACAATAACAAATGGACGTGCTCCTCCTTTGAAATGTTTGTAAGATGTTATTTAAAGGATTGACCTTTTTGTGGGCCAATAATTAGGAGTTCTTTTCTACATCTCACCTGATATATCTAAAAAGGGCTATTTTTGAATAAGTACAGAGCTCCCGCTCTGAGAAGGACATCTGATTGTTAACGATGGTTAAGCTGGAGTGACCAAAAATCCTTTTACCTTAAGGGGCTGGGACAGGGTGGGGGACAGCAGCAGTGCACTAAGAAGGCATTCCCAGTTCATCCAGAGAAAGAGGTATCTCAGAAAGTGCTTTCTAAAATTCAGAAACAGAAAACTCTACTGATCAAGTGTGATGGTTCCAAAGTACTCGAGAGGAGTGATTGTTCTCCTCTCTGGATGGTGAACCAAAAGCAATGAGCCACATCTGTATCATGTGAATCAGATGGTGTATTTCTGCTTTAGAATACTGTATGTATCTCAAGATTTATTTTTAAATGAAGTTGGTTTTGCTTGGGAATTATTTTGTCAAACTTCAGGTTTTCTACTTCTAGTCTTACTAAGAAACAGTACAGCCTTCCGACACTTGGAAAACGCTCTACAAATCTGTGTTTCCTGTGGATGGGATCTGGGTTCAGATAAGTGAAGTGATTTTTCTACACAACCTGGGTACTGGAAGGCAGAAGCTTTATCATGCTGAAGAAAAGGAAATCCATATCAACTTGCATTACTGACTTAGGAGGCTTTAAACTCTGAATGCCAGATACCAAAATTGATGAACATTTTCTGACTTTATACCAAAGTATTCCTTCTAAACCAAATACAGAGTCTTGCCCAGGGCACAGAAAGCTTTTTGTAATTAACAAAATAAATTTTTGTGATGGATTACTGGACCCTGCAAATTCTCTTATGATAATTATAGGTACTAATCCTAAAAATTAGTCATCTTCTTAATAGATTTTTCAATTGCCTAAAACCATTGACAGTCTGAGCTACTGCTCTTATAAAGCATTTTCTTTTAATTCTGATTGCTATTTATCATTTTAATATATACCAACCAACAAAAAACTGCATAGGCTTGGAAATCCCATTTGCTTACCTAAATGCTGTTTCTCTGAGCAGTCTCTTTGTTTTATAGCTTCAGGTTAATACAAGGCAGTCTGAAACAGATTCTAATTTGGTTTTTGGCTTGTAAAAGCGGGGGGAAGAAATCTGAAAGATAGCACTGAACAATGAATGAACCACTATTTGATGTGCCACTGTGCAATAGGAAGAGCACTTATGAACCTCTTTTGAAAGCACTGCATGCAGAATCTGCAGAGACCATGCCACTGTAAGTAGCTTTTCCCTTGACAAATGTTTATATGTGTTTGTCTTTTGTTGGATGTAAAGGATCTGCCTTGCACTTCCCTTGCAAATCATCAAGGGTCCAAAACACTGCCAAAGTACAAAAAGAATGAAAACTTTGTAGACTCAGCCCCAAAATACATCACTTACCATAAAACTTCAGCAATCACTCAAAGAACTGTTTTGTTCCCAGAACACATAATAAGTTATTTATAAAGAGCTTTGTTTTGATGAAATAACTTTACAAATATTATGCAGTAGGAGGAGACAGGCATGGCTTGTTGAGTGCACATGAAAGTTACAGTAACTCAGCTCCTCCAAGGCAGCTGTTCCAACAGTCCCAGTTAACCTGAATTTGAAACTGGGTGTTGTATATTAGGACAGTTTTATAATCATAGCCTGCCTTAAGCCTAGCCTTAACTATTTCTGTGATGGGTTTTTTTCACTGTCTTCCCTGAGGTTTCCCTAATCGCTCAGTAACCTAAAGTAACTTTGAGATTGGCCACACTTGTAGAGAAGGGCTAAACCAGATGATCTCCAGAGGTCCCTTCAAACCTATATTAGTTTCCAATTCTAAGCACTGGATACTTTTAAATTCAACACTTCATAATTTTGGGTACTTTAGCAAGTGTGTCATCAAGACCCTGTCAGAGTTTCACAAGTTAAGTGAAGCAAGTCATCCTTACTCCACAGACTTTTGGGGTGACTAGATTTTGGAGCAATAGATAGCCAGTCTTGAGGGCATCTGTTCTGGCAAGATAGCTGCCTTTGCAGTCAATTCAGTGATCTAAATGTGTAGGTACAAAACTTTATGTTTCTTTCCTCACAGAAGACAGGTGAAGCTGGGAATCTTTGAAAAACTGAGGAATGACTCTCAAACGTGGGATAGATGTGAACATGGATAGTGGTTTTCCCTGGGCTATACCGAGACAACATTTGCAAATAAGTAGTTTAATATAAAATTGTGTGAAGCTACTGGTCCACTGTTCAGCAGGGCAAACCCTGAGGAGTTTTACTATAGACCTTAGAGATAAAATTGATTAAGTTCTGCTATATTCATGCCAGATCAGCCTGGACCTTATTTCTGCAAGTTAACACCCTGCCTCTCAAAATGCCTTTTTAGAGGCATTTAGACTTTCTCCTCTGTCTTTACCAGCCCATAGGTATGCAAACACTTCATGATTTGTCTCCTGCAGGATAACAACTATGGCACATTCTCCACATCAGAACAGATACTTTTCTCTAGGGTCTTTGAAGGACATTTTGTTTTGGCCATATTTTTAAAATAAACAGTTCATAAAGAGGGAATACAAATAATCTGATACCCCTTCTCATGATTGAAGCAGATTATGTTCAAATTATTTCTTTGATACATATGATATAATGCTCAAGAAGCTCATTAAGTCAATTGAAGTGCCAGAGTGTCATTAGATTCAGAATCTCAGTTTACACTAAGGCTTTATTTCTAGCAAAGTACACCTGCTGTAACTGGAGTGCAGTTTTCCCCTTTCCTTGAATGAAAATTGCCTGTCAGCGTAGTTGTAAATTTTAAGACCAGATGATTATAATTTCTTTTATTCTATATCCCTCAAAACACAGATCAGTCTAAGACTAAGGTTTTGACTGCTCCTTCAAGTTAAGCAGAATAGCCCTAATCTAACAGAAAAAAGGAAACAGGTAAAAACAGGTAAACAATTGAAACAAGATTGACTATTGTTCACTATTTGAGGATAGTGTCTCTAAAACTTTATGTTAACAGATTAAAACCACAGCCTTCAGCTGTAGAATTTGTTGTGCAACAACATGAGGGAATCTGAGGACTAATTTGTTATGTGATTCTGTCCAGGCTCTCCCTCAGTATTCTGAATGATGTATTTAAAAAGCAGTGTAACAGATAAGGAGAGAGAATATTACATTGAAAGAACAATTTCTATAATGAAGTTTACACCAGATGCATCTGAGTAATCCAGACACGACTTGCAATAAATAACTCCATTTTGGAAAATATCATTCTTTACTGGCAAACACTCTTCTGTAAACTGTATTAATACTGATATGGGTGCTGCTTTTTACATTTTTTATTCTCTGTACCTGCGGTAGTCTTTTATACAAATGCCTCTGTCCCTTCTTTCCCTTTCAAAAGGTTAATTCCTCTCAATACAGAAAGGCCTGTGTAGGATTTAAATACAGGTTAAAAGAGTGGGGATCTATATTCAGAGGCTAGAGGAGTTTAAAAAATGTACTATTCATGAAAATCCATCATCACAGAGAGCACCTTTCACCGAAAGGCACTCAGGGTTTGCTTGGATGTTCAGTTTGAATGTCCTTCATTTCAAGGACACAGCATTTTACAGAATTAAGCTTCACATTATGTAAATTACACATCAAGATCGATTCACCTCTCCAAGTTGTTATGTGCCTTCAGGAAGGTATGATTTCATTCAACTGTAGGTACCAATCTATTTCCCAGATGGCACACAACCTTGCATTCAAGAACAAAAGGCAGCTTGAATACAGAAGTCCCTGAAAAAATCTGCAAAAACCCACTGAAAATCTGTGGCAGTATCTCCCTGTTCAACTGATTACTTCATCAACTCATTCACTCCATTGTCTGGGATACATCCAGGTGCTTTGTAGCTTGCTGGGCTGATGCATCCTTCAACCCAGTTGATATGATAAACCCACAACAGTACTTATCCTCCTACTGCTTCATTTTGAAGGATATAAAATAGAGGCACTTAGGGTTTCAGGTAAGTATCAGCAGCTCTAGTTCCAAGTTCAGTCTTTGTGAATACAAGCATGGGACTGCACAGTGAGACTGGGAGGTTCACTCAAAGAGAGAGATGTAGTCTGGCTCTCGGTCCTCTTGGCCACATGGGTAAAGCAGCAGTTCCTTCCCCAAGGAAGTGATGGGTTCATCCTGTTGATATAGGATATGATCAAACACCTGTTTTCAAACAGACCCTACCTGTCACAACCTCACAGGATGGACAGCAATCTCCCCGCCTCTGTTACAGTGTGGCCTCATTCATGCCACTGTGTGATCCAGCTCAGTGCCCTGGGAAACCTGGGGTAAGACCCAAGTGGGTGTCCTCTGTCTTCATAACACAATATTTGTGCTCAGTGCCATAACTCAATGACACAACTCTGGCAGTGCTCAGAAAGAGCTGTGCTCATCTTGTAGGAAACTACAGCTTCTATGACATGAAGTGGTGCCCTGCCTAGAAAGTGCTGGAGCAAGGACTGTGCAGCGTGCAGGTAAGCAGGACTATGTGCTTCTGGCTATGTTTGTGGGAGGGACAAGGGTGGATCCTAGAGTGAGCACATACCCTCTGCTCAGGCAAATCCTGTTCTAACCAGGGAATTCCCTGACAGTACAGTGTCTGCTTCCAGTCTTGTCCTCCATCCTAGCAGCAGGTGCATGGTGGGGACTTGCCTTCTTTCATGGTCACCCAGTGGGTGATAAGCAGAACCCACTGGATCACTTTGGCAGAGTGGGTTTAGCCTGCCCACATCTGCTGTAGTGCTGGGGCTCTGTAGGATTCACTGCAGACTATGGGCATGGCTCTATCTTTGATGTAGCTATGCACAGCCAGGCTTTAAATCCCCTGGCTCTGGAGTCAATAGCTGTGTAGCTCCTGCTTTCAGTGATTTCAACCTGAACTGTGAAAACCACGCAAGAAGCAAGTTCTGGTAGCCCAGGTAGAGTTCCATAGAGCAAATGAACATAGATATTGCCCTCATGTCAAATTTTGTTTAGGCATGTCTGTATTAGGCTAGGCACTTATTTAAAAGAAACAGGGTTTTTAAATGAATCTACAAAGCAAAAGTATTGTCTTGTCCCTGGTCAGATCTTACAGTGAAGGAATGAACAATCCATCTGGCTCTCCTTGGAGCCCATGTAACTGCAGTCAGTGCTGGTAGACACTACTGTTATTGATGCAAGAATCTGCCAACCTTCTTCCTTCCCTTCTATTTTTCATCTTTGCTCAATATCACACCTTGCCTGCTTTTAGATGATAAAGATACCTTGTTCTCTTTCATGCTGAAACTGGAGGCAAGCAGGATTTTCTGTTTACCCAACTTGCCAGAACACCACAACCACAGAAAATACGAAAGAAAGGAGTCTATATGAGAATGCTGTCACCTCTCACCTTAGCAACATTTCTAAGTAGCACGTAAGTAACTTGAGCCCTGTGCAAGGTGTTCTGTGTGCTTGAGAGTGAATGAGTCAGATCTAAGATGTTTGAGATGTGTTAGGCCACCTGAGATGTACCAATCAGGCTGACATACCCTTCTGGAGCAGCACACAGGATACCCAACAGCAGTTAAAATGGGTCTAGTTACCTACTTCAAAATAACTGCATCTATTCTTTCTTATTTTGAAGTGCCCTGAGGCAATTAAACAGTTAATGAATGCATTGATAGATGTTTTACCTTGTGGTAGTCTACAAGGTCAGCCAGCGTTGAATGTTGCAGCTGGTCCACTCCAAGGAAGCTGTAGGAATCACCGGAGGCATCAATGAGGAAGTGTTTACATCCTTCCACAGACCGATAGGAGAGCACATAGCCTTTGATTTTCTCACTGACCCGGATCAGAAAACTCCCTGGTACTGTTTTATCTAGAAGCTCCTCCGCTTTCTTAGAGGTTAGGATACCTGTTCAAAATTAAAACACAGAACTGAAGGGAGAAGAGCATTTGTGCGGGACCGGACAGAACAGTTCTCACAAGAAATCTGCTATACTGCTCTAAACCCAGTCTGTGGCACTCCCATCCCTTGTTTTGTTGCCCAATAGCCCAGGAAGAACCGTACTGCCATTGCTAGTAACAGACCATGGCCATGGGCTAACTGCTCTACCTTAACTGCTCCAGACTTGACCAGCTATGAATGACAGACACACGGGGCTTGAAAGGACAGATTCTGTGTTATGAGAGAGAACAGCATTGCAGTTTGTTGTACACTGATTCCAGTACAGCAGCAGCTTCACTCCTGGGCCCAGCCTATGTTAGCAGCCATATATCAGCAGAAACAACTCCTTAAACAGTTGGGTTGGAGTGGGAATGCTCAAGACTCACCATGGAACCAAGGTGCTATTGTGTCCACGGTTTTCAGATAGCCAGCTCGGAGAGGGAACTGCTCCTCTTTGAACCACTTGATGATGCTTTCTTCAGTGGAATTGGAGATTGTTCTCTGGATTCCCTCTTTCCTGTTAGAAAAGACCGTGGTTTGTGCATCAAGTTCAAATAGGTTTTGAGTCCTTGCACTGAACTTACCTTTTGCTTAGGATTTTAAGAACATCAATAAACAGGCAGCTTACACTACTGCAGCTGTGTAGAATATGGTCTTTAGTGAACATCTGGCATCACAGAGGCTGTATGCACTTGCACTCCAGGCTTAGGACACTCTACTAAATAAACCTGTTACCCTCCAGGAGTAAACACCCGAAGGCATCATCACACCCTAGGCTGGAATATAGCCTAGGCTCTGTATTTTTCCCCATGGAGTGTCTCTTCCACACAAGGAGGAGAGTTAACCATTCCCATCTCAACCATCCTATGCTAGAGCAGAAGAATCTCATCCCTTCTCCCCTCCACAGGGCATAGGGGCTTCCTTACCTAATCGCTCTCCCATTTGCTGTCACAGGAGGTAGAATTTTAGGCTTGGGGGGGAGAGGTGGATACTGGAGTGGTCGCCGATCTCCTGCTATGGCCCCCTTGGAAATATTTGCCTGCTTCCCTCTGTGGATGCCCTGAAGTGAAAGCCTCCTGTAGTCATCCCTGGCTTGCCGTGCAAGGGAGCGTCTCTTCTCATCTGCTGCCTTGGATTTCCGCACTGGAACAAAGAAGGAGTCCTACATGAGTGAACAAGCAGGCAAGTTTAAAGCTTGCTGCCCTTTGGCCATCTTCCTGCTTGATGAAGTGGAAGAATAACCCATTTCACAAGCTGAAAGGTTCACTCAATTGTGAGACCATTTGCCACGTGTCTCCCACGTGTTACGTGGCATCTGCCACTTAGCAGGGTACAGTGTTTATTCCTTCAAGACACTAAAAATGTGTGGTTTTTATGGATACCAAGTCCCTTTGTACTTATAGACTTCTTGGTTTGATTTCAGATGCTGACTCCTCGTTCAGATATAGATTTCTGTAGTGCCTTTCATGTAAGCAGGTGGGGAGCAGGCCATATGGAATTAAAGCTGCTGAAATGACCTCAAATCAAACTTTTGAGGGATTTGAAAGAGTTGATCCATTTTGGAGGGTGGGGGAGAGTCTTGCTGAAATTATTATGGAAAGTGGAGAACTTGGGTGTGTTTTTCTTTCTTTTTTTTTTTCTGTAAAACTGCCTTGATTGTTTAGGTCCACCTCACCCTGGAGTCTGTAGGAGTAACCAGCTCTCTAGTCAACTCTTTTTTTTTTTATCAGTCAGGAAAATAAAACCCCTAGACTGAAGTGGAAACAACTGGTGGTACAGCATTGCCATCTACTGAGCAGCAGGGAAGGAACTGGGAAAAAAATACATCAGGTTCTCCCTCGGGAAGTATTTGGCAGCAGTGATGGATGCTGCTGCAAGTCTCTTACTGTTTGCCATTTTCGTTCCTATCATTGGGATTCATTACATGAGACAGTGCAGCAGGGCTCTGCTTAGATGGGATCATGCCTGGATGACAGGGAAGCTCTTTTTAATTAGTTCTTGTCACCCATTATCCTTGTCCTCAAGAGCAATGGTTACTGCAAAGTCCTACAGAAGGCCAGCTTCTAGTTTAAGATTAATTATCCTCTCTACACTCATGTAGTTCCTTTGTTGCTTGTTTTAATATAGTATCAGTAGGAAAAGTTTTCCATTTCCCTTCCCAGCTGTAGTCTCAAGGCTACGTGGACTCAGAAATATTTCTGATAATGCAGTGTTGTCTTTCTTGGCAATACTCTCCACCCACCAGCCTATTATTCAGTTCCAGTGTGACAGCAGAAGGGTTGAGATGACCCCACAGAGCTCTAGAATTTCTCAAGCCTCATAGGAAAAAGTTATCCCAAGATCTTACAGAATTCCTGCCATTCAGGCTCATTCTCATCCGATTTCTGCAATGTTCTCTGGCTCTCTGTGCTGGGGTGGCTCTGTGGTATTGCCTCCTGGGAGTCTGTGGTCTCTTCGGAATTTCTCCTCTGTGCTTCCTTTGGCTATGAAAGAAACAGTATGTTCAGCTTTGTTGCAGGCAAGTTTTAATCTTGCTTTTTAGCTAGCCTTGAAATACTGGGAACTCCATTTGATATTGTGAATCCCTCCAGCTTCAACAACATGCAGATCCTCTGTCTTTACTGCAGGTGACAACAGAGGAAGTGAGGGAAAATAGTCTACCAGAAATCATCAGGAGCATCTCCCTGTGCTGCTCCCCAATCTGCCAGTCTGGCCTGCTTTGTATCATCACCTAATTGTCACACTGTACATGAGGAGCATGGCAACACTGGTCCAAGAGGTGAGAACATTTTTAGGTCAGATGAGGCTTTGAGGCTGACAGGGACTCTAGGATAAAGCCTGGGCCCCACTCAGTGTTTCAGCAGCATCCTAGGTTGCCGCTTACCTTTTGGAAGCTAGGTTTCCTCATATGGCAGTCTGCCAGCATCTGGTGAACATCTCTGGTTCCCCTCTAAGCAGAGCAAAAGAGCGGTGAGAAATAAATGCGATGTTAGGACAATTGCTCTTCTTTTGGAGCAATAGATGTATAATGCAGCAGCAGTCATGACATTTGTTAACAAATTTTGCCAGCCTTCTCTGACAAACATTGGGTTTTCCATCATATTAGGCCTAACATGCCACATGAGGAGAACTCAGGAGTGTCAGGATTGCCATAAGCATGTCTAGATTTGCTAAGCAATGCCCCCAAGTACTTCCAGGGAGCAGCTTCTTTCCTCCCTCCCCCTAAATCAATCCCTTGCAGAACTTGCCATCCACAACTTTACAAGCCTGTGCTTGTTTGCGGCTGTGGCTGTGGTGTTGCAAACTCCTGCTCAACAGACTGACCCAACTAGCTGCATATCTCCTTCTTGCTCTCCCCTGCAAACCAGTCTGGCTACCCTGACAGCAGTTTCTAGCTGAAACCTGCCTTTGAAGGTGAACAGTTAGATTTGTCTCTGAGCAAACACCCACCCACCTCTCCATTGGACCCTGACTGCTCCCACGGCACAGTGGGTAATGAGGTAACTGTACTACACTGCTTACCAAGGACACACTTCTACCACCTACTTGGCTAATATTTAATATGAACATGGCTTTACAATTTCTCTCTCCTCCAGGAAACTAAGAACTTCAAATGTGTGTGAAGCTGCTTTTTCTTAGATATTTGTCTGTTCCCTGCAACAGATAAAGCACAATGCCTGGATCCCTTACATTAAATGGGAACTAAATCTTTTGGAATTAGATTTTTGGTAGTAGCTTTGGGTTTGTTTTTTCTTTCTTTTCTTTTTTTTTTTTTTTTTTTGTGCTGTGACTAATAACTTCCTATAAAAAAAAATCTCCCACATAGTTGCTCAACTTCAGCAAACAGTGCAGAGAAAAACCTCATGTGACTCAGAGGCTTTTGATAAAGGAGAGAGCCACTCCAAATTCCCTTCACTATTTTGGTAGCAGCAGGAGAGCATGTTGCCAAACCCCAACCTTCTGTTATCATGTTTTTTATGCTGAAATATGGTGTAGCTGTACGATAAAAGAATATACACTCATACAAGTTCATTCAAGGCTGAATGAAAACTGCTGAATGAGATTGGACTTCTCCCATTAAATTGGCAGGGTGTTCTGTTCCTTCTGTTCAACTGCAGTTGCATGGGTAGTTAATTTAACTCATCTTTTTCTCAGTTCTCTGCAAATGGCTTTTTGTAGCCAGTTAAAAATTAGAAATGTATTTATTGCTGGAGAAAAATATTTCTGTAATAAAACACCACAGGAAAGCAGACACTGTAGTTACTGCATTTCAAATTGTCCTGTGCTGTCAGGGTCATAAGCTGTTTTCTAACTATTTTAGAAGACCAAAAAACCAAAGAACCACGCATATCAGATGATGCTGGTAAAATTATCTTCATTTGTTCTTTTATAAAAGTGGATAATCTGTCTAATGGCTGTGACCTTACATGTACAGATCCTGGGATAGCCTGCCTGGTCTTGCCCCAGAAGCCATCCAAACCAGCCACAGTGCAGGAGGGAAAGTACTGCACCGCTCATTTTACCCACAGAGAATGGAAGCAAAGGAATTCAGAGTAACTTATCTGATGCTACAGAGCAGATCTATCCTACCTGAGAATAGCACGTGGACCTCCTGAGTCCCAAGGAAGGATGTAACAGCATGGCTTCTTCTCTGACTACAGAAGAAAAGCCTTAACATATAGATGGCTTTTTTTCTTCAGATTTCTATTTACAGCAACCAGGATTTGCTGCACTTCCTAGTTCTCAAAACATGCGTTTCTGATAGCTGTGGGAAAAGGGGGAAACTACCTTTGTGAGCTCCTGGCTTTTCCCGGTTGTTGTATCCGTCATTTTTCTCCCACGTTCCTCCTTTGTCTGCACAGTGCTTTTTTTATTCTCATGAAGATCTGTCTCACCCAGTAGTCCTGGTTGTGGGTGTAGAGACCATGTTATAGAAGAGTCAGTCTCTCTGAAATGCAAGAGAGAGGACTTAAGAACTCGAGGGAGTCACCTTCTGCCCCCTGAGCATCTTGCAAGGAAGCTGCACGTGAGCAGAGCAGTGCTGCATTGAAGCCATGTGCGTATGGGCATTTATATTTCCAAATCAGGTAGGTGCAGTAATTAATTTAATGACTTGTGGTGAGCAACTGTTGTCAGGCTGCACACCGGCACCTCTCGGTGAATCAGTGGAATCCAAGCTCACCACCTGCCACAATAACAGTGTTGGCATTTCCTGTGGTCTGCAAAGTGTCCCATGCAGGAGCCACATCATGAGAGGCTCAATGAGCCGGAGCAAGTCTCAGGCTGGAGCTGGTCTCTGCCAGCATTGTATGTCCTCACAGAAAGCCTGTGCCTTTTGCCTGCAAGACCAAAACGACAGTGGTAACCACAGCCCCTACAGAGATGATCCCAGCCTCTGGGTCCCTAGAAAAGCCTTCTCCTCCATGTCAGCCCACTCAGACCCCCAGCCGAAGTGTGCTTACCTGCCCTCCTTGCCCTGCTCTCTCGCCAAGCACTTTGCTCTTTGTGCCTGGATCTCTTCACAGATGGCTGCATATGGTTTATCTGAAGGATGCTCGCCCATCACCCAGACCCAGACATCATTGTCAGCACCGAGTTTCCATGTCACCGACTTCCCATTGGCTGGAAAAGAAGCAGCTCTTTGGCAAATGCTGTTTGCTGGATAGCAGGGTCTGTGTCCCACCTGCTGTGCCCTACTGGCTGCTCTTGATGACAGAGCCTCTCCAAAAGCAACTGTACGTGGGGAAAGCTCAGCTGGGAGGCAGCCCACACTTTGCATTTTTTTTTCATGCTACTGAAGCCAGGTCAGTGAAGGAAGTCTGAGTCTGGGGGCAAAGGAGAAGGCTCACTACCATTTGTTTTCTTGTTTTAATTCCTGGCTACTGCCCTTCCCAAACTGTGTGAGGGTGAACCACCTGCAAAGAGAGCACTGTGGGGGAGAGCTGGGAGAAGAGTGCTATCTTCCTAGCAGTCAGCATGCTGTGCAATCCTGGCAAGCAGACTTCAGATCTAAAGTCTCAGTGGGAACTGCAGATCTGGTGCCTCAGGACAGATATTCAAATCCCTGGTTATCCTAAAGACAGAGGCCCCATTTAGTGGGAAACTTAATGAGATGCACCTCCTGGGGGCAAATAAGCCCTGTCTTCCCAGTTAGGGGAGCCGAGTAATTTGGTCAAGGACAGAGTGTCTGGGTCAGGGAGTAAAACCATAGTGCCTCTGGTCAAAACTACCCCATTGCAGGTGGGTTTAGTTACGGTTTGGAGATAAGCCTGTTATATGTCCATGGGAGAAGAATTACTCTAAGGATACATTACCTCCTGTTTCCAGGGAGCAGTTGACTAGGCCAGACGTGTCAAAGGGTGAAGCAGCCAGGAGGCAAAGACTTACCTTTTCTTGGCAGTGGCTTCTTTGCTGGAGCCTTGTCCACAGCAGCTTCTCTTTCCTCCCACCGTCTGATCTGTTCCTGCCTCATCTTGAAGAAGAGGATCTGCTTCTGCTCCTCGCTGAGTTCTGCCAGCAGGTCAGGATCGATGTACATGTCTGATAATATCTGTTTCAGCATGGCTGCAGGTTTCAGTTACACGTTTGTGGCAGTGATCTCCAGGGATAAGATCCTCTTCCTGGCTCCAACAAGAAAGAGTCCCTGCCCGTCTGAGCCTGGAGTAGGAATGCAGGCGTGCCAGAGTAATTATGCTTCTATCTTTTTTTTTAGCTCAAACTTCCTGCGCAGACCAGAAAAGTAAATAAGTATCTTAAAACCTGCTGTTAAGATTCCTTGAAATAGGAGGTAAGCTCAGCTCCCACGCAGCCCTTGCCTGCTCTGCAAGGAGAGCTGGCTAGAAGGGGAGAGTCCAGGAGTGGGGAGGTTGTGTTGATACTCTGATAAACCCAGCTGATAGTATATCAAAGAGAGAGAGCACTGCCTGTTAGTCATCAGAGGTGCGGCTGAGTTGTGCCCAAGTAAACATTCCTGCTGGGCAAGAAATCAATGAACCCATGACTAGACGGCTCCTCCTCCTTCCAAACAGGAAAACTTTGATGATCAAAAGCCCAGCCTGCCTTGTTTTGCCAAAGAAAGATGGGGAGGACTTTTGGCTCTGCTTTTGAGGTGGGAGTGGGAATTTTGGGGTGCTCCCATCCATCAAAGGTAGCCTCCCAGCAAGTCAAGGGAGCACAAGTAGTGCAGCTGGTTTGAAGAAAGACAGCGTGGATGGTCAGTGTCTGAGACAGCTCCCGGTCTGACACATCTTGCTGATGCACCTTGCCCACGTGGTGAGCGTGGCATGGGACATCCCTGCCTGACAGGATGAAGTGGATGGGGAGAAGGAGCACTCCTGTTCCTGCACAGGATGTTGGCTTCTGTATAGTGCACACTGGTGAGGTACTGACACCCACCCAGCTGTGCTATGTGCTCATGGATTTACATTTACAAAAAATGGGAGCTCTCCTGTCACTTAGGAACTTAGCAAATGAGAAAATAGAAATGTGGACTAAAGACCTTGAAACCAGTTCTTTTCCTTATCTTATCTGGATAAACTCGAGGAGACCAGGAGATTGGTTGGCAGTGCTTTTGGTGACACAGGGAGGCTGACAGTCATGTGTGAAGTGCAAGACCAGAGCACGGGGGCTGTTTGGCCAGGGGTGGCAGGGGCTTCCTGGACAAATTCTTGAGAAATGTTATAGTCATCGGGCTACAAGGAGATAAGCCAGTGGGTTTATTCATGTCCTTCTGCACAAATCTTGGGAGTCTAAGGAACAAGCATGCTAGGACAGAGCACAGTAGGTGGGAGGAAGAGCTGGTGAGGCAGTAATGTGGAGGTACAAAGGGCAGAGACATGGCAGAAGAACCTGTGCCAGGGTGAAGTGGGACTGTATATTAAATTAAGTTAATGAGGTCAAATCAATACCCATCTTACAGGAGATAGACTGAATCCCTAGGGACCCAAATGTTGGAAGAAAAGTGTTGGGAGTACCTTCAGCTTCAGAGTATGACTGCTTGGTTCTTACCATATAAAATAACAGAGGCAGCAGGGGAGTCAGCAAGTGCAATACTGAAGCTTTCCAGGGAGCACACATGGAGCACATTTAATTAGATAAAATGGGGCAGCACAGCAGAAGCCATCATAAAGTCAGACTCTCAGAACACTATATGCTGTGTTGGTCCACCTTCCTCTGTCTCACATCCATGCTGGGATCAGGTAGGCTGTCCCAAGCATTCCCCTGCTTCTGAACATGGCTTGCATTAAAACTGCTGAAGACAGAGCTGGCCGGAGCCCCAGTGCATTGTAGTGCCCATGCACTTTCAGCAGGGAGAGCATGAAAGGAGCTTGGAGCAGCTGGAGGAGCTGCAGGCAGGGAGACAAGGAGTTCCCTGAAGAGCTCCAGGCATCAACAGAGCAGACCACTGTCCCAGCATAGCCTTGTCTGCAGCAGAGGCCAGGAGCAGGAGCAAGAATCCCTGGGAAGGTGCAGTGATCAGAAATTGGGAATGAGCCTTCTATTTCTATTTTGTTTCTCTGATTACTTAATATTTTCCCTATTAAAAATGTTAACTTAATTCCAGAAGGAAGCGTGAAGCTAATGTTCCAAATTTGTATTGATTTGGCTTTCTTGATTTAAATAAAACAAAGGCTTTTTGGGGAGGTGGTCTGATCTGGGCGATGCTTTCTGAGTACCCCACAATAGCAGAATTGTTCCAGCTCAGCAGGGAAGAGGCTTGGGCTGTCCTTGAGCTATGGGGGTGGCAGCTGTAGAGAGGGAAGAGCTTTTTGTGGGGAGGGTGCTGTTGAGCATTTCCTCAACCCTTATTTATGCATTCTTTGTGGATCTGAAACAGTAACAGAGATAGGATAGCTCTGGCCATCTGAGCTTGATGATGTGGCAGAGATGCCTTCCATGGGCTGACAGAAATTAATCACAATGTCTAAAACTGAAGGGGCTTTTAACAAAAGAGACTTGTTACATGTGGGGAGATGAGATACTTCTATTCCCTTCAGGTGTAGTTCATGAGCTTGAGTCCTGCACCCTGCTCTTTGTATAGCAGTGGGCAGCTTGAATCCACCTCACCATCATGTCAGCCCTCTTCCTCATCCCTTGGCTACACAGGAGGCATTGAACATGACCCAGAGTGGCTTATGTTGCAGAGTTAAAATTTGCAGTGAGCAAAGCTGTGGTGGTTAAATGGTATTTCTTTCTCCATCTCTCCCAGTACTGCCTCTTGGTGCTGTAGGTGCTCTTCCTCACTCTGGGGTGTGCTTCTGTCTTTAAAGGTTCCGTCTTGTATCTTCTATATCCAACCTGACTCCTTCTGCCTGACCAGGTTACCTGTTTCTCACAAAGCACTTGGGAGACAGAGAGGGTTTATAAGGATTGCAAGTCTTTTCCTCAGTTAAATTAGGCTTCCTGGGACACAACGCATGAGAAGCCACCAGCAGAATGCATGCAGCAGCATGTCCCTGCTGCTCTGGCTTCTCAGAAGTGGGAATGGCTTTGCTGCAGCATTTACTTAGTAGGACTTGATGTGCTCTGACATATGCAGTGGTGACAAACTGGTCGTCCCTTTTTCCATGCCTGGGGACACAGTGTGTTGGCAAGATGGAAGGGTGCTCAGAAAACAAGTTTCACAGTACTGATGCAGTTTTGCAGAGTTGGATCTCCTTGTAACAAACTGGTTGTAAGCGGAAATTTATAATGCTGTATCCCAAAGGTGCCCTTTAAAGCACCAGCTATTTTAACACTGGGAAATGACATGCATCTCAAGAGGTTTGAAGTGTTTTTTTAGCAATCACTTCATTAAAGATTTTAGGAGATGGAAGTCCTTGTAATAGCAGTCATTCAAAGTTTGAATCAAACCCATGTTACTGTCACTTGGACAGAAGTAGTTTTGCAGATGCTGTTCCAGCTGCAAGTAGTATATTTACAGCTCAAATTTAGGGAAGCCAAACATTGAAGTAATGGCAGTGGGAATTCCAAGCAGGTAACTTGTAGGAAAACTCTGGTAGAGGTCTTGTTAAACTTTCTACTACTTGTATTTTTTCATGGGAGTGATAGATGGGAGCTAGTTTTGTGGAGGAATGGGAAATGGGAGTAGCCAAAACCAGCAAAACTTAAGTGGAGGGAGGTGGGAAGCCAAAACAGGGCTTTTGGGGCTATGCCACTTATATATGATAGTTGACTTGAAAGCCATAAAGGAAGTACAATGCAAAGGTCAAATGACTCTTCAAAAAACAAGGTCACATAGCATTTATGTTTTCTGCTGGAAAGCAGCCTCTTCTCTGTGCTCCTGTAAATCATCTACCATTAACAGGGGAAATAAGTCTATGAATACACATAAAAGCACAACCACTTTTCAGAAGAACTGGTATGAGCTCCTGCTCACGTGTGCAGTGTGTGATACTCAGTCACTGACAGGCTCACTGACACTCCCTTCTGGCATACTAGTCCTGGTCCTCACCATGAATGCTGCCATCTGAGGGGAAGATTCTCCACAAAAACAATAGACAGACAGATAGGCATTTGGTATGATTTTCACCAAGAAATCAAGCAGGAGGGTGTAAAATGAAATAGTGGACAAGCTGAACAGTGGCTCTTGGGCTGATTTTCTGGGAGGCGACTTCTTCAACCTGTTGCACACATCTCTCCAGTAAATGTGGCAGTAACTGTAAAGTAAGAATAACCCAAGAAACTCAAAGATGAAGAGAAAAGAGAACACAAGAAAAGCTGCTTCAGGGTACAGACTGATGAGCTGAGAGGATTTCTATTGTCGTAAAGTAGTTTTTCCCATAAAAAAGCAGGTAAGAGCACATTGTTCAGAAAATGGTGGAACTGTATTATTTTGAATCAAGAACTTCTCCTTGTAGCTGGTCATCTGCTTAGTGAGAAGTGGCTTCATAGATACCATGGGGAATTCTTTTCCCTAGTCAAGAGGTTAAGCCGTGAGAGTGCAATTGAATTTCCTTTCACTTGCCAAACTAAGTCCTGAAGCACTGAAGAGGTATTTTGCTCAGGTTTCGTTGGATTCCTCCAGTTCCAGCCACTCCAATGCCATCACCTCCCTGCCAGACTTCAGGAAGCGATTTCTGATTTTTTTTCAGAAGTGAAGCAAATCAGAATTGCCAAACCCACCTGAAATCAGTGCAGCCAAAGGTAACTGCTTCGCAAACCTTGCTCTCAGTGCACAAGTCTTCATGGGTTAACTGTTACATATTGTTCATAAAATGCACTTTTGTCAGAAAATATTTATGTTAGCAGCTGTACCGGCAAGGTTACTACCAAAATATCCTTCTGTGCTTTGGGGTTTGGTTGTTGTTGGTTTATTTGTTTTGTTCTTGTTTGGTTTTTTTTTAATCCTCATCCTGTTCTAAATAGGGGAATGATTCATTCCTCTCTTTCTGTTTAATTTCACTTCAGCCTACTGTTTTCTGTTTCAGATGAAAGGAAAGATAGTTTGTTCATAAGGAAAATATGACTGCATAAGCTTGGCACTCAGAAGACAGAACTAGACCTGTTTGTATCTTAGAATCGTAGAATTGTAGAATGGTTTGGGTTGGAAGGGACCCTAAAGATCATCTAATCCCAACCTTCCTGCCATAATCATGGACATTTTCCACTAGACCAGGTTGCTCCAAGCCCCATCCAACCTGGCTTGGAACAATTCCAGGAATGGGGCATCCACAGCTTCTCTGGGCAATGTGTTCCAGTGCCTCACCATCCCCACAGGGAAGAATTTCTTCCCAATATGTAATCTACACCTGCCTTCTGTCAGTTTGAAGCCACTCCCCTTTGTCCTGTCACTGCGTGCCCTTGTCCAAAGTTTGTCTCCAGCTCTCTTGTAGCCCTTTTAGATACTGGATTCTGAGTAAGGCTGGCATATAATGGTTGAAAGAGCAAAACCAATGAAGTCACCACAACATGAACTACCTTGAAATTACCTATAGCTGAACTGACTTGCCCTATAGGCCCCTGATCTTATAGCCTGTGGCAGTGGTTATCTTATAGCAGGTACAAATAGATGGAAATGGCAACAAGGAAAAATTTGATATAGCAGCAGCCACTGAACACAGTTTGAGGCCCCAGGGCTTTACTTTCAAGAAAAAAGTTGTCTTCCTTGCTAGAATAGTGTGCAAACATTTCTTGATCATCTTCCTATATTAAAATTACTGAGGGAATTACCAGTGTGGTGAAAAGGGTGAGGGTTTCTATAGGTTAACACACAGGATCAGAGCCTCAACCAAACTCAGCCACTGTAAGAAAGGAGATTTTTTTTCTAGCCATGACACATAATTTAATTTACAGTTCTGCAGAGAAAGGGTGATCAGTGGTAAATTCCCAAATCCAGCACCCAGAGACACAAAAAAGCAGGCCTACTTATACAGTTACAATCTTAAGCTATTACCATATCTTACTGAAGTCACTACTTGGCTAAGTTGTTATTGGCTCATCCTTTCTCTACTTTGAATTAAAGCCATTGTGTCCCAAGAAATCACAGTGCATGCTCAGTGAGTGGTGGTCTTTTTGTGGGCAGGGGGGGCCTGAGCTGGGGTGTGTTTTTACTATTATAAGGAGCAAAAGTTCATCACTAGGGTAAGTTCTCACCACAGAACAGGTCAAAACAGGTTTTCTTCTAGCTCATCATTACGCATCCCAGACAAGAAGGATTTTATCTTTGTTTTCCCCCTTCATGAACTTAGGCCATCAATTTCCTGTCTTCCACATTCCCATGGTTATTGCTTCCACTGCTTAACCACTTTATCTTGTTATTTGGAACTTCGCTCCTGTTATTCATCAAGGTGGGAACCAGGACGGAGGCACTTGTGTGGAACCCCTCTGGAGGCTGAGGGTCTGGTTGCGTTGGTCCCTGAAGCTTAGTCCATATTTAGATGATGTACAATTATGTCCATTCCTATTCAAGTCATGACAGTGATTGATTTATGGCCCTGTTAAAAAGCCAAGATAATTTGAACAAACACAAGCTGTAGTGAGCTAGAGTGGAAATGAACTGGAGCCACAGACCAACTGGAGAGGGAAACAAACTGGAGCTGCAAATAAGCTGGAGCCAAAATGAAGCTGAGAAAGATTAAACCCAACTGGAGCCTAAAATGTGCTGGAAGCAAGAACAAACCAGACCCATCCACGAGCTGGACCTGAGACAGACTGGGGACAGAAACAAATAACTTGAAGTTCCAAGTGAGCTGGAGCCACAAACAAGCTGGAGCCACCAAGTCCCCGCAGCATCTCCGGGCAGGCTGAGCCAGGAGCGGGGCCGTGCAGAGGGCAGGCAGCAGCAGCATCGCCCTCGGTGCAGGCAGCCCGGCTTCTTCCTGGGGCATCCACACCCCACGCGGGGCTCTCGGGCACAAGTGGCTCCCGCTGTGGTGGATTCCAGCTCTCCCCATTTCCATCAGAGCCAGCGCCGAGCCGAGGGGTTTGTCCCGCCGGCAGCGGCTCCGGAAAAGAGCTGCAGAGAAGAAACCAGGTGGGAGCAGGGGGGCCTGTAGCAGGAGGGGTCACCGGCCGCCCCGGGAGACCTCCATCCCCGCCGAGTCCCCATCCCCGCCAGGGGGACACGGCTGGGAGCCAAGGCCGGGAGCCGCCGGCGTGGTGGAGCTGGGACTGATCCCGCGATGGAAAGCGGAGCATTGCCGGGGACTCCCAGCCCCAGCGGCTGAGCTACAGCTGTTCC